CTGACGTCATCCGTACCAATAGCAGTTTGTTTACATTTGGTTGTTCGGTTGTGCTATACTCGAAGTTATAAAACATGTAAATGTTCGCTATTTAATGCATTCAATAAATAAAACTTGATATATATATTAAACTCCGTGTTGTTTATTCCATTTAAACTATATAAAAGCTTTTCCGGCGTACAGACAAGTGAATGTAGGCTCTCTGAAAAGGGTCATGCAGGCAGGAGTTTTCCACGTACAAGACAATGTAATAAAACATGTAAATTTTCGCTTTTTAGTGCATTGAATAAATAAATCTTGATATATGCATTCAATTCAGTGTTGTTTATTTAATTTAAACTATTTAAAAGTTTTCCGGCGTGCAGACAAGTGAATGTAGGCTCTCTGAAAATGGTCATGCAAGCAAGAGTTTTCCACGTACAAGACAATGTAATAAAACATGTAAATTTTCGCTTTTTAGTGCATTGAATAAATAAAGCTTGATATATGCATTCAATTCAGTGTTGTTTATTCCATTTAAACAAATTAAAAGTTTTCCGGCGTACAGACAAGTGAATGTAGGCTCTCTGAAAATGGTCAAGCAAGCAAGAGTTTTCCACGTACAAGACAATGTAATAAAATATGTAAATTTTCGCTTTTTAGTGCATTGAATAAATAAAACTAGGTATATTTAAATGTACTAATATGTATTTAATTCAGTGTTTTCCTTTTTCATTTAAATAACATAGTACAAGGAGTTGTAAAATAAAAAATGTTATGTTACTGTTTTAGTAAATTTTCTCTTTCGTTTATACGCGTTGTCAATAATTGTTTTATTTAAAGTGCGTATTCTAAAAAACATACGTGCGCGAAAGAAGAGTTTTTTAATTTTTATATCGAATGGAACATGATCCGCTTTTAAGATATGGGTCTGCAGATAACTGCTGGCGATGAATAAACCGTCTTCATTAACCTCATCGAAAACTCTCTGCAATGCCCTCATGTTCGCCATCATTTCTGGAGTTGGTTTCGA